TCGCAAGACAGGTTTGGGAGGAGGGGGGAAGGCTTATGACTAAAAATTGACTTTACATCTTTTCGTATGTTTTACGTTAACCGCTTCGAAAATACCACGTTTGTTCTTGGTCCCATTTCTGTTTTTTTTTCCCGATTCAATGCAAATCATAGATGAAAGTATTAATTGTAAATCAAATCTTTTAATACGCTTGTTGCTTTCGACTTGTTCGTCAAAAGTTGTTGAAACTTCTTCTGATTATTGTTTATATATAAGGAATAACAGACTTAAATATTACATATTATTGGTGGACGTTCATTTGTCTTTAAGGCTGCACATTACAAGTCGGTTGAACAGCTCAATATTAGGCAATAATTTGAAAAAGGATAAGCAGTAGAAAGTAATTGTAAATTGGCTTGTAGAATAGTCATGTATAAGTCTTGGAGAAAAAAATGTTTGCCAGAGTTCTAATGATTCCACCACGTCGAAGAAAATTACATTGCAACATTCAACTTGTTTATTAGGAAAAAAATGACCTATTATTTGGTATAGTAGCACAAGTATTTCGTTTAACAGTTTAAAAAGGTTTTGACTTTTAATAGTCAGCTTTGGTGAATCCTAGTAGCCCTTTTTGTTCAGGTAAATCAATTGATTGTTTTGCGTTTCAGGATAACACAGTTAGGACATGTGGACGAACAGCTCTTCAGATTATTCGGTGTAGTGCTTCTGACGCATCACGGTAGCTTTGCTTTAACCATATGTGGTATTTGTCTTTTATTTTTTTTACTGCTTTTTCATTCGACGTTCAAGGATTTGTATTCTTTGTCATTTTCAAAGATATCAATGAAAATCGTCATTTTAGTACTTTTTAAAAATTAGAAGTTGGATGTAAACCTTGTTTTGCGATTTTAAAGACTTTGCTGTATACCGTTTTAGACGGAAGGGGAGTTTCGCAAAAAAATTCTTCGTTACTACAAGCCTTGTTGCTGGTGCGGTAGGTAGCGCTGTAGCTTACGCTTACTATGACCCAATATCCCGTACAAAATTCGAAGAAAAAGTCCCCTACGGGAAGGATTTATTTGATTATGTAGATAATACGAAGGATAATATTATGAGGTCAGTAAATTATGTAACTCTCTTCTACCTGTTCTATGACAATAGCGTGCTTGAGAACATCGCTTCAGCAAGTAATTTATTGAGTTACCTCCCAGAATATTATTGAAGCTTTTAATTTTTTAGAAAAAGTAAAAAATATACTACGGATCTTAAAAATAAAATTGGACAGTTTTCGTTGACTGGAAAAAGCAAGGAGTCTGTTACGAAGATAGAAGAAGGACCACTGCTGAAATTGAAACCTCCGGAACCTGTAATAGTTGCAGATGAAAAACCACTTTCAAAACTGGAGCACCCTGTGAAAAATGAGGCGGCAAAACCAGCACTATTAATCGAACCTGTTGATCTTAGGGCCAAAATGACCGGTTCGTATCGTAGGGCAGGGGTCGACAGCGATCTAGAAACTAAGAAGAACGCGGGTAATATTTTGCATTTTATTTTTGTTTGACATAAAAATCATTTCTTTAAACGAATTTTGAATTTCTGATGAACGTGAGGAGAATCAAAGGCATTGTTTGTATCTACACTGAAACTTCCTGAAAGGTAATGAAAGTTTTGTGAGCGTCTTTAATAATGGTTTTATTTTTTTCTGTTTTTTGCTCGGTCACTTGATGATTTGGTTTAATAATTGTCGTAAATAATTTAGAACTAGAAGCTTCATTGAAAGCTGCGATAATGTCTGCCGAATCTCGTGTTAAAATGGCTACGGAAGCCAAATTATTAACAATAGCTGCTATCAACGAACACGCAGAATTGCTCAAGAATGCCGTGAGCAGCACAAAGGTAGAATTTTTTGAACTCTTAGTTTCCTTCGCCAATTGTCTTTCTTTATTTTACTTACTGTAGAAAGCAGATTGGGATGCAGTTTCAAGAGCTGTTGAAAAGGCTGACAAAGCAAGTCGCGAAGACCTAGCAGAAGAGAACGAAGCGCGTAATTATTTGGATAGTGTTAGGAAGGTTTGGCGTATATTCAGCAAATTCATCTGCATGATTGTGAATATGGTTACTGGAAGGCTTTTCAGATAATCAATGAAGGTAAAAGAAGTAATGTAACACGCTACAATCCGCTACTCATAAACGCTGTTGAAACGGTTAATAAGCTTGACGAACAATTGGACGAGTTAAAGTTAGCAGTTCGAAAGACTCGGGATGAAAGTCGTCGTATTAATCATTTTCAAGATTTGATCAAGCGGAGTCGCAGAGTCTATGCCGATGAATTAAAAGATTTGCTTCCCGGTCTTGACGGAAAAGTTAAAGGTTAAGTATTTGAAAAGCTACTTTTTTGTGCACGGCATGCGGGAACAGTGTTTTATGATGTGTAGAAGTGGTAGTAATTAAGCTTTGGGAGATCTAACATAACTATTGATTTCATTTAGACGCATCGTTAACAGAAGATGATCTAAATATGTTGGTTGCTCATGCTCACTTAAAAGTCACTCAGTTGAGGCAGCAGCTAGCAGACCAACAGGTGGGTTTTTTGCGATGTTAGGTAATTTGTGCTTAAGACTTATTCTTGAGGCAGTCTGAAAAGTGGAATTTTTTCCATTTATGAGTAACATTAACTGCGTGTTAAATCAATTAATTTGTTCTATTTTTTTCTATAAGACCAGCTACTTTTTCTGTTTCTGCAAGCAATGAATCCTAGCTATTCGATACTTCGAATTAAAGTTTTATTTATTAAATTTAAGGCAGTCGAGGAGGAGAATATAGCGAAAGCTGTTGAGGAGCAACGTCTTTTAGATAACTCCCATGCCAAGGAGGAGTTGGATTTAGAGCTTAAGCGCCTCAAGGACCAATTAGATGTTGATTATGAGCGGAGGGTAAAATAGAAAGCTACTGATTGTTTTTCATTGCATGCTGAATGCAATTTAATTTTTGGTTTTATTAATTCTTTAATTTACTAAGCGACTTCTTCTGGTTAGTATGCAGTCAGAAAAGGTGTGGAGACTGTATCATTTTTAATGAAGTTATTGCTAATCCTGAAAATCACTTCTGTCCAGGTTTTATCTTTATAATCTTTTCGAATGGAAAACTGCTACCAAAACTTGTGTTTCATTTAACTAATAGCTTTAAGTCTAGTCACTTCCTTGAATAAATATAAGTAATATAAGTCATAAGTTGCCTTGTTGCCTCATCCTTTTGAGTGGCTGTTCTGTTTTTGCGATTAGCTACTGCGAATATTTTTTGTCAAAAAGCTATTCCGTCTTTTTCGAAGAAAAATTACAGCATTGCTTTTCATGAAGTGATTTGGATGTACAGATGTTAATATTGTGGATCCACTTCTTTTTTTTCATTTTCATGTCTGAATCTGAAACCATTGTGACGCATTGTGAAATTTTTCAGCTTGTTGCTAAGAGGAGGGAGTGGGAAGAGGAAGCAGAAGAACATTTAAGGAATGTCGCTTCAGCCCACTCAGAACATTTAGAGCAGGTTGTGAGAACACAAAAACAGTTATGTGACATTGAACAAAAACAGAAGGTTGCAGTTGCATATTTACTTTATAAAAACTAGTTCTACGCAAGTTGTTTTGTTTTCGCTTTTTAATTCTTTTTAGTGTACGTATTTTTGCAGATCGAAGAGGCAGTTGGTGCAGAGCGGAAATGGAACAGTGAGCAGATTCTTAATGCACAGCAAAAGCTAGAAGGTATCGAAGTAGCACTGAACTCGCGTTTGGCAGCTGTATGTTACGTTTCATCTGTTTCACTGAAAAATCTGTATAGAGCCATTCCCTTAATGCATCGAAAGTGGAATTGTGTTCATTTGACTTTTCAAGAATATTAGGAACAGAATTTTTGATTTTAGGATATAGAACATCGGCGTTCAAAACAATTTTGGATTGCATGTCAAAATCTTGTTGCTTCTGTCGTGTATGGCAAGAAAGCTGGATTAACTCCAGAGGAAAGGCGAAATCCCCTTCTCAATGAAGTTAGCAACTCTCGTTTATTTATGTCTTTATTTATTTATTTATTTATTTTATTTATTTATTTATTTTTTTTGGAACTCGCCTATTACTGGACACATTAATTTTTAGCTAAATGTGATAAAGGACTCGAGTGTTGGTGACGAATATGTGCAAAACGTTATCAGGGCATTTTCTGAAGAAATTATCCATGACGGTGTTTATCCTGAACAGGATTTAAGAACACGATTTTCTCATGTTAGAATGTTTGTTCGATGTCTTTCATCCTTGTTTTCTTTAAACTCAACTAATTTTTAACGGTAACTTTTATGAACTTCTTGGAGCATTGTTGTTTGTCTCTTCGATTCATTATTAGTTTTATTAGTTTTAAAGACACTTTTTAGGTCTATAAAATGGCACGACGTGTTGCTAAGATTGATGAGAACGGAGGCGGTTTAATGCAGTACCTGACATCTTATCTGCAAAGTGCTATCACTTTTGACGTACCTCGCAACTATTCGTCAGAAGTAACTTTTACTAACAGATCCTGCCTTACAGTTCCAACTGAAGTGTAACTCGACACATTTGGAAATAGTTTTTCTTTCTTTGAGTCACTCGTTTCCTGTACCTTAAATTGGTCACTTTAGGACAAAATTGACCCAGATGTGCTTGACAACTATGAAATCTTATCACGTACGAAGTACTTTGTTGATAAGGGTGACCTTACGTCAGCTGTTCGAGTAGCTCAGCTGCTGAAAGGCGAACCTGGTAGATTAGCGAGAGATTGGATAAGAGACACTCGTGTACATTTGGAGGCCCGCTTTCTGGTTGATCTTCTTCTCGCACATGCTGCAGTACTAAATATCACAACCACTTACCATGTGAGCTAATGATGTCGCGATATTTGTAAGTTAATGGCTGTTTATGATGGCGCCAAATGTGTCCTGTTAGCCTCACTTAGTTGTATTATATCTTAGTGGAGTTTTTTTTTTTTTTTTTTTTTTTTTTTTTGAAACCTTT